ACCTTTTCGTGCTTAGTTGGTTTCTTGTTTATACTTTCATAAACACACATTAACATCCTTTTCGGTGCAAGATAGCTACTATGTTAGCCAAGCTAAAAGTGAAAGTTGTTTTGAGTGAAACCAAGGCTATAAAAAGGGTGAAATTCGAAAGCAAGAGCACAAGTTTCTTCAATGATGCTACTATCAGTATTGCTTTTGCACGGGTGCTTTTTAGTGGGAAAAGCCATAGAGGAAGATGCATCTAGGGCTATTGAGAATGATAATTGTACCCGATACTTGTTACGAATTCCTAAAGACAGGAACTACCTCACATCAAGTAGACATGACTTCTATGTTGTTCAAAATGGGACTAAGGAGAGATCACCGTGTCCTCCTTGGTACCATTGGAGTGAAGGAAATTGCACAATGGGAAGATATGTTCTTAAAGCTGTAACTTTTCAACGCAAGACAGGACAACCTTGGCTAGAGAAGTTCTACTGCATGACCACGGACGAGAATGAAAGTAGCAAGATGGGAGGTTGTCTCACTTCTGTCTTTCATCAATCATTTTCTAGATCCTCCACTCCTCTGCCTTGTAATATCTCCAAACTGAATGAGTACATGTGTGGAGATTTGAATAGAGAGGGCCAGCTCTGTGGAAGGTGTGTGAAGGGGTTTGCCCCACCGGTTTACTCATACTCCCTCAGATGTGTCAACTGCACTGACTACCATCTCAACTGGCTCAAATACATTGGAGTAGCCTTTGGCCCACTCACACTGTTCTGCCTCCTCATCTGTCTCTTCCACATCAGTGCAACCTCACCCTACCTTCATGGGTTCGTGTTTGCTTGTGAAATTATCACTTCTCACACATTCGTAAGACTCATAGTTAATAGCATTGCCTTCAATCCTTCAGTTAATGGAAAAACTTTGATTCTCTTATCAAGGATGTATCTAGGTTTGGTGAGCATTTGGAATCTGGATTTTTTCAGTGAAGAATACGAGTCATTCTGCCTCAATCCCCACATGACAATTGTGGAGGCTCTTGCTCTCAATTTTTTGATTGGACTATATCCCCTGTTTCTTGTGCTCGTTGTGTTCCTACTTGTCAGAATGTACAGTAAGGGTGTAACTCTATTAGTCAAACTTTGGAGACCATTCACAGCAGTTCTTAGACCGTTCTTACGCAATCTTAACATTCAAACATCTCTCATTGAATCGTTTGCTACGCTGTACTTCCTGTCAGCCATGAAGATACAGAGTGTTAGTATTGATCTGTTAACACCTACTACTCTTTACTTTGTCAATGGAACAAAGAGCAATACATATTACCTGTACTTAGCTGGAGACGTGGAGTACTTTGGCAAACGACATCTTCCATATGCAGTTCTTGCTCTACTACTTCTAACATTCTTTACACTTTTCCCTGTCCTGCTTCTCTTTCTTTACCCTTGTCGTTTCTTTCAGCAATTCCTGAATAGCATAAGGTGCAATTTTGTGACTCTAAGGACATTCATGGATGTCTTTCAAGGAAATTACAAGGATGGAACTAACAATACGAAAGACTTGCGATTCTTTTCTGGCATGTTTCTTTTGTGCCCGGTTCATAATAGTAGCTGGTTTTGTACTGCTGAACTCCCCCTTTTTTTGGATGATTTTTGCAGCCACAATCACAACACTCGGTTTTAGTATAGCTGTCTTCGGCCACAAAAAACATTCATACACTACCTTCTGGACCTTTTGGTTCTTATGATGCTATCCCTCGTCGTATTTTTAATTATTGGACTCACTTTACAGGACACTAACTCCATATCAAGAAAAATCGAATTTGCATTTCGCGTTATAGCCCTGAGTTTACCCATACTCTATATTATATTGCTCATGGGCTACTGGGTTTGTGTCAGAAAGAAATTTCTCAGACCCTTGCAAAAGTGCCTTGGACAGAAATGTAGCAGGTGTTTTCAGAGATTTTTATCAAGGCAAAGTCCCTTGTCAATGTACAACATCATATAAGAAGATTGCATTTTGAGAGTTTTCTTGTGTGCTGAAGGTCAATTATTCCCAACAAACTAAGTCTTGTTTTGAAAATAATCACTATAGATATCATCTATTCTGACTCATTATTGCATAAATGGGTTTCTCACATTTGTATTTTGCCGTCAAAAGAATGTGGCGAGACAAAGAAGGACTTCTTGGTACAATAACATTATTTTCTAAGTATACAGTACCAATGTAGCATGGACAAGGTGTGTTTCCTCTAGGTTAAAGGTTTGTAATGCTTCTGTTTTCTGAGGAACATGAAAGTTATGGTTATAGGCTAAAAACACTTTCAGATCAGTACTTGAGTGTACACAAGCATTTTTCCCAGGGGGAATGCACCCGTGAAAAACACTCAACGTGTTTTCCTTAGTACACTGTTCATAAGGAAAGTGTCCTACACAAAAGTGAAGAAAACACCCCAGTTACAAACATGCATGTTGTAGCTACTTGTGCAAACCTAGCTATGTGCAGCTACGCCGAAACCATGAGGTATTGTGCTTTTGGACCATGAGTATATACATAGGGGCCTGTACTGTCAGTATAGCTATGGGGCACTTGGGAGAACTTAACATTAACATGAGAGAGAGCATTAACAGCAACTTAACAAAAAGAGCATTACCAGCAACTTAACATTAACCTGAGAAAGAGCCATTGCTATATAGTCATTCCAAATCAACTAGAGGGGTTTCACGCCTGCCCTGGTAGCTATGTTCTCGATGTCTACCACTCCACGTATATAAGGCATTTGCTTTCTTGTAAGTGCCTTTGGTATTCTCACTGTACCAATGAGGACATAGTAAAGTTTTGCCGTCACAGTTCACTGAAAACAGAAGAAAATCTTGCAGTCGTGAAGCGACTACCTCTAGAGAAGCTGATGATAGAAACTGGTAAGCATTGAGCAATGATCACATAATGGTGGCTCTATATAAGAGCCTATATCTCTGCTAGCCAGTTTCATCTATTCTGAAGTCAACATGAATTTTATTTTGCTCAATGAGATAATGCATACAGTTTTGATTTTTAATAGCCAGTGATTCTCATCTTCATTAACAGCACCAGTAATACCAATTAGGCATCCTTCAATCATCAATAAAAAGAGAAACATCTTTACGTATCTTTTATCTCAGCCTTGTAGCTACTTGCCCTTTTATAAACGTAATAAGACATGAAAGTTGCAGTTTCTAGGCAACTCTCATGCTGGGGGTGGACTTTTCAGGAAATTAGTTGTCCAACACTATTTTCGTTACCAATTCCTAATATTGTAAGCAGTCACATCAAGATATTGGCCACCAGGCATTTCTTTACATACCGTGTGCATGAAGAAACTGAATGCATTCTCAGGCGTTGTATATACTATGTAAACACCACAGGTTTGCATAAGCAATCAATGGGTGAACCCCACAGTGCCTTTTACTCTAGAGGGAAATTGTGAAATTTGTTTCCAGTACACAGCAACAAAAAAATAATGTAAGACACTTAAAGGAACATTGATGTTGAACGTAGTAAACGACACACTGCTTTACTACAATAACATTGTGTTAAGTGCTATTTAGCATTTCTTATAATTATTCCTGTCATGAGTGTAGTCATGAGCATGGAAATTTAGACTTCAAGTGCTATATAGAAGTCAATTAATATCCATGTACAACAATATGTCATTACTAAGCTATTGTATATACATCCTACTCAGTACACTGGCATACGTCATTTTACGTACAACTCCACCAGTTCAACAGCAACGGGGTGAGCCATAGGTGCATGCCCTCAGTTCAATGTCATCATTGGTTATGTGGTCGAGGGTTTTGGTGAAATATGGAGGATTGTGATGGGAACAGCAGGTGCTTGTATGATGACAATCTTCTCCATCCCACAGAGTGTCATTGACGTGTAGCCTTTGTTCGTTTTGCCCATCATAATACCCAGGGTACACATAGCCAGACTCACAAAAGTAGTCTTCTCCGACAAACGGCGGGGGTAGTTTGGTGAAGCCTTGCAGATCACATGGGCAGCTATTACTGCTATCGCTACGACTACTATTTTCCCGCGACCCAGCAGCAAAAGTCCAAATGTGATGCCGAGGTTGTCTGCCATGGAACACAGCCACACCATCGAAATAAGGATCATCAACTGTGCTCATTGAGTAGGAGAGGGAAAACCCAGTGGGCAATTTTCCACTGGTATGCTCTGATCCTGCCACACACATGATTGTATGGTCCTCCTCCCACAGGAAACGAGGCCGAGTCACAACTCCCTTGCCTCCCAGAAAGTCCACGGCAAGTTCTCTCTGAGTGCTGTGTCAATGTCCAGCCAGAAGGGCAGGCTGTATTTGGGTCTGTGAAGTTCAAGTAGACTGCACGTCTCCATCCTCCAGAGTCTCCACATGTGTGCACATGAAGAGAATGGTCATAGAAGACTTGGTTAGAAGGAATATTTACTAAAGGTTGATGAAGATCGGGTTGGAGTTTAACATACATCTCAACTAGCTCTATAGCTACATTATTTCCATACTCAAAGTCACACATCCTTAGCTCAAGGTCATCAGAAGTGGTTTGACTTAAGTTTTTGGTGAAAAATGGAGGATTTTGAAGAGTGCAACATGTACTGGTGGACAGACAGTCTTTCCCATCCCATAGAGTGTCATTTATGTGGAGTTTCTGCTCCAATAAAGAATTCCTGTACCCAGGGTGGACATAGCCAGACTCACAGAAATAATCGTTTCCGACAAATGGTGGGATACTTCTGTAGCTATTGTCACAAGGACAGTTGTACGCCAACGTGATTCTGGCTCAATTCTCCATGCATTTTCCCATGATCCAGCTGTAAATGTCCATATATGCTCTCGAGGACTACCATGCATCACAGCTACACCATCAAAGTAGGCATTATCAATGTCAGATAGTCCATATCTGTATCCTTGAAAGGCTCTGTGGAACACCGAATTGGTAGGCTCTTATTCTACCACACACCTGATTGTATTGGCCTCCACTGACAGGGAAGAAGGCTGAGTCACAAGTCCATTTCAATGCTTCTTGACCTAGTGCATGTTCTTTTGGAAAGTCCAGTGAGTGTCATACCAGGCGGACAGTCAGTGCTGGGGTCTGTCATATCAAGGTAGACTGCACGTCTCCATCCCCCAGTACCCCCACATTGGTGTACGTGAAGATTATTGATGTTGTTTGTTTGATGTGCAAAACTTACTTTCATTTGTCGTCAATTTCGTGCAATTTTGTTTGAATATAGTCAAGCTTGACATGTAGCTCAACTGATTCCACTGCTATATCGCCATTGTACCTAGATTGAATATTGCAAAGTCTCAGTTCCAGGTCATCGGTACTTGTCTTGCTGAGATGTCTAGTGAAGTAGGGAGGATTGTGAAGAGCACAACATGTACTTGTAGAGTGGCAGTCCTTCCCATCCCAAAGAGGGTCATTGGAGTGAAAACTACGGTACTCAGTGCTATTCCAAAACCCCGGCCATACATATCCTGACTCACAGAAGTAATCCTCTCCAACAAAAAGTGGTGCTGGTGTTGTGTCTATTCGTCCAATGTCACATGGACAGCTTGTGTAATGGTATGTAATGTTCTCTAGGCCCCCAGCTGCAAATGTCCAGATGTGTTGTCTAGGATTTCCATGCATTACAGCTACACCGGTGAAATAGACACCATCGGTTGTTTCTCGTCCAGTCACACTGAAAGCCATTGGTCGTCCCCACGCATAGGCTTTGATCCTGCCCCACACCTGATTGTATGGACCACTGCTGACTGGAAAGAAGACTGAATCACAAGACATGCGACTTGTGTTAACTCTGCCACAAGACCTCTTAGAATAACCTGTGAGTTGCCTTCCAGGGGGACAGTTAGAATTAGGGTCCGTCATATCAAAGTTAACTACCTGCCTCCAACCGTTAGTTGTCGCATTCATCTCATACTTATTAATTTTGTTAGACATAGCGTGTGTTGTTTCGCTGACATTCCTTAACTCAGCCTTCACATCATTAAGATTTCCCCTCACCGCATCGTTAAGCCCACTAACCCTAGTATCCAGAATAGCCAGTTCAGAGAAGATAATTGTGTCAAGTTTGCTTTCAAGTAAACTGAATCCATCATTCATTCTGGTATCAATTGAAGAGATGTTTGAGTGAATTTTCTTTACTTCAACAGATACAGTTTCATTAACACGGAGCATCTCTCTTTTGATAAAGTCAAAATCACTTTCTAGTGACATGTTCATTGAAACCACCTTGGAATCAAGTGAAGCAAAATGCCCTGTTCATTCTCATGTTGTTTACATTCATTTTATATTGAAGCACATCAATTTTTTGACCAAGTACAGTAACATCCTCTGAGCAGCAATCAACATTATATGAATGAACTACAGATTCGGGGTTATTTTTATGTTCTTCTAAATCTTGAACAATTTCGTTAACCACCACTGTGAGGTTTGCCAAATCACTTTTTATGCAGTTAATGTCTTCTTTAACCTCATTGAAAAAAGACCTCAGAGCTTCATTTACTACTGCAGCGATCCTGTCAGCTAAAAGTGTGTGTTAAAATACTATAAAATTAGACATTCAATATGAAACGGATGGGCCCCCGACCGATAGAAAATTCCAGCATTGAAACAACTAGGTAGTAGCTCCCTTCACTGCCAATGATAGTTCTTAGAGTTAGGGTCCCAACAAGCGGTTTTGCAAAGAGCTAACTTCAAAACCCATTACTTAAACTTATGCCTAGTAATACCAGTTGCATAAGCGACTGTTTTTCAATCCAATAATTAGCTACAGAAAGCTAGTCCTGTCACTACATTTTTAACTAGCTATTTCTACCAAACTTACCATCAGTTTGGGTTTGTCCAAGCTTCAAATTCAACACTGTAAATGCTAGACAAAAAACCAGCAGGGAAGCACAACCCATCCTAACCAAAATAACTATTGAGAACTGCTAACAATAGTCCAAGAAACAGACTGACTGCAACCTACCAAAAATGTACACTCTTTTGTACTGCTGCTGAGGAATTCCATTGTGCATTGTCCACCTGGTTGCTGATAAAAAGAATACAATAGCTTATTTTTTAAGTTAAACCTGGATTTTCCAGCCTCTATTAGCTATCCAGACCTATATTAGCTATCAAGACTTCTATTAGCTCTCTAGACCTCTATCTATTTTGTACAGCTGCAGAGGGATTCCATTGTACATTGTTCACCTGATTTCTGATTTAAAAAATAGCACACTAGCTTATTGTCTGAGCTAAATCACTGCATTCCAGCCTCTATTAGCTATCTAGACCTCCATTAGAGGAATTCCATTGTACATTGTTTGATTGCTGATAAAAAGAATACACTAGCTTTTTGTCTGATTTAAACCTCCACATTCCAGCCTCTATTAGCTATCTAGACCTCTATCTCGCCCTCCTCTACCAACTGGCACTAGCATTCTAGGTGCAGCCTCCACAAGCACCTCTTTACTTCCTGAGTCTCTACCAACATAACATCTGGCATCTCTGAGAGTTGCATTCCAGCCTCCATTATCTAGTACCACACTCCTACCAACTGGCACAGAATTATTCTTTAACTTTAGTATAGTCAATGCTGCCAAAGAGGACCATGTGTCACAAGTTGTAAGGCATTCCAGAAGCCTTTAACATCTGGATTTGTTATGCTTGGGTTCTATACTTATACATACCATGGTTTAGCCTCTAGCTACCATTTTGCAATAGGTTCCAGCCTTTAACTATCGCTTATGCTCCAGTGACTCTATTGCTCAGGCTTCAGCCGTTATCATCTGGCATGGTTATCTGGCATTTAATTTTTGTTTACGAAAGAATATAGCTGTGTCATCCAAGTGTGCATGTATAGTGCAATCCCGCCTAGTTATAAAGTTTTTTAACTGCTTCTTTAGATCATGTATGAACTGTTTATATAAGAAACTGAATGCAATTTTACAGGCGTTTTACTAAGTAAACAACCACAGGCATTTCAGGTTTGCTTTATTGCATTTCAATGAGAAATGTATAACACAGGGCAGGGTGTATACCACGAAGAAAATTAGAACTACTGTTGTTCCTCGCAAACGCTGCGTCTTGTGTAGCGTATATATAGCTACTGAAAGAAAAAGAGAAAAAAATAGCAGAGATACATGGAAGCAACTGGGAAGACACATTGCGCCTTTGTTTCAACGAAATTTAGACTAGCTATGTAGCTAGATAAAATTCAATGATCGACACCATAGTTTTACCTCTCCGTGCTTCCTTATTTCCTTCATTGTTAGAGATTGGCTTTCTCGCGCGCGCCGCCTTGCTTGGTTATTGATACACGACCCCGCGCGCTTACTCTAAAACTTAGGCGGGATTTGGAGCCCTGCTCTTCTCGATCTCGATCTGGAATGAGTCGCAAGTCCCTCTCCCTCGCAGGCAAGGGAGTTAGGAAGCGCAAAAGCGTCAGACATAAACAGGTGAGGTCAACGATTTCTCCGCCCTCTTTCCATGGCATAATGAACGTCTGTCCCGCAGTCAGGAGGATCATGGCGAACTTCAATCAATTCTTACTTTGGGGGAAAGGTGAGTCTGTTACTGAAAACAGAGCAACATGCTAGCTCCGTTTAATTTCTCATTCCAGTCTCTTCCAAGTCAGCCAACACTGAGTCACTTTATCCAGGTATGTGTACCTACATGCACTACACATTGATTATGCAGAATGTCCCTGTCCTGACCAAGCAGAAATCAAAAGCTTCAACGAGTCAGTCTTCAGCTGGGCTACCTCTCCCCCTGGACCAAATTGCCCTCAATGACAGGGACAACCCATCGTCTAACCCAGAACTACCCACCGTCAGTAGTGTTCCATTTGAAACCATAAGTGAGGCTGAGAATGCTCCCCTACATTGTACTGGTGTACATGGAGAGCTGAAGCACAGTGTGTTCAGGAAGCTAAAGTCAGATATTGACCCAAATGATGAGGAGTCTTGCGTGTCACCTCAAAATCTGAAGAGAGATACAACAAAGTGTACCACGGTACTCAGTGACGAGTCTCAAAATCTCACCCCACTTGAAACTGAATGTGATGAGAAATGCAGCAAAGAAGAACCAACTGAATGTATTGCAGAGGAACAAAGTCCTCCAAGATCTCAGAAACCGTCTGCCAGACCCCCATTGTCCGAGGTATTGGTTGAACCCTCGTTGGTTAAATTCAAAACGGGCCTCAACCCGTTTGCAAAACTCAATCCCCAGTCAGCCTCTTCTCCTGTCGTATCTCACTCACCTGCACCAAGTTTGGCGAATGAGCCAGGGCCGTCTGTGCGGAAGACGGGGTTGAGTCTCAAGATTCGAAAACGTAGGTTTGTGATGTCGCCATCCAAACCCCGTCAGGAGAAACCAGTCAAACAAGTCATGAAGGTGGACGAGAATTACACGCTATCATCTACACCTCCCCTCTTTGCCACGCCCTCACACTCTCACATCTCCACATCCTCCCGTATTCCCACCCTCACATCTCCGTCACTGTTTTCTCCTGGCGATAGGAATCTCTTGCAGCAATATTCCACTGTTAAGGTCAGTTCATGGCTAGTAGCTATACATGGTGCAGTTTTATTTCAGTTCTTTTTTATTTGTGCAGGCTTTCACTGGCAGATTTGGAAGGGGCATCTGTTTGTGACAATAGTGGAGCAGTAGTAAGTGATAGTGAAATCAACGAGACATGTGTTGCAAAGTCATGTGATGCAACGAAGGAGAGCGCGGATTTGCAACCAACTGATTTTAGCTTTTCACTCTTTGATGACGTACTAGACCAATCGTCATGTGACGTACCATCAAAACCACACGATTTCACTACTAGGTCACATGATCTTTTCGACCAATCTCACGATTCGTTTGATGAACTCCTTCGACAAGCGAGCAACAGCTCATTACGTAACCCCAACGACACCAATGAAGTCACCACCTCTGACAGTTCGTTGGGTCTCAGGAATGACATCACCAGGGGATCACATGATCTGAGTCGGCATCTCGTTCTGGAGGTAGTGGTGCAGGAGTGGGATGGAGGAGGGGGAGGAGGGAGGGCCAGACCAGAGCTCATGCTACGACTGCTGGACCAGTCCACACTGAAAGAGTCTGTGGTCCATCTCAGAGATGAATGGTAAAAACCATGTTCCATTTAACTCTATATACATCCCGCATTAACTCCCACTGGGTTTTCACTACCTCAGCACTGTTACCCCACCCTCACTCATGCAGTAAGACAAGTGCATATCAAAACATAGTATTTCCCCTTCGTCTCAGAGCCTTGATAAGTTGATGTTATTAAAGAGGTCCCTTGCATTATAACGTCCCACAAAAGAAGGTACCCATTCAGACTAACACTGTTGACACTGGAGAAAGTCAGCAATCAAAAGACTCGGAGAGTGCGAGTGGCTTAACCAACAACCAAGCCACGTTGAGTAAGTTTGAGTAGTTAGCTATGCAGCATAATTGTGCTGGTATAATACTGTCTTCTGTTTTTCAGGGAAAATAGATTTTGTAGTATTCAGTGACTTGCCAAAGCAACCAATATCTTCAACCAGGTTTAAACACGCGAAACACTTTCATTATGTCCAAAGTTCCTTTTATCTTCACAGCTCTTTGGTGGCTACGGTGATGCAGTCCCACCATCCATCTTCTCTCGCTGCTGCACACTGGACTGCAAATCCAGGATTTTCACAAAACCACACACACTTCTGTAAGTCCCTCCTAACTATTATTTCGGCATGTTAGCACAAAGCGCATTAATCACTTACTCTGATAGGTAGAAATCTTAAAAACAGTAAGTAACTCTTTTACTAGCTACCCATACACTAATCCAGCTGGTGCTATAGACTATTGCTAGTATGTTTTGAAGGCCTAGGGAGTGATTATCACCGAGTTTTTAGTCGTTTTGTACGCGGATAGACGCTGTTGCAGTTGAAAATTTCAGTGATGCCAAAGATTCTTCTAACCCAACCAAGGTCAGTGTACTTTCATCATCATCTCTGCCCAAACCTCTGCCATGACTAGCAGCTAAATTTACTCCAGACTCCAGAGAGGACTCTTGCGCCCGTCGAGTTATCTCAGTGTCTTCCTCACACCCTCCGATACCGTCACCTCCTCCCCACACAGCGGAGGTCCTCTCTCCCAGCCAGGCTGGTGGAGCTGTCGTCTTCTAGTGATAGAGATCCCAACCCCTCCATGTACATCAGGTCCTACTCTGGCTCTCAGTCCAACCACTGGGACAGGAATGAGCACGCTTCACAGGATACACGTTCACTGGTTGGAGCTAACCGAGCATCTCCGCCTTCATCTCGTGTTGTTTATGGCTGTACTGGAGATAGTTGTACCAGAAGCAGCTGCACTTCACTAAACAACTCCCCTCGGACTCAGAAAAATAGACTCTCAACAAGTGAACACGCTGGAGGGAGAGCTGATGGTGACAGTATAAGCAGGAAACCATTGGGGAATGAGGAGAAAAACCTCAGACAAAAACGGCTTTGGTTAGTGAAAGATAACACAACTTCTAAGTATAGCAACACAGCTTTCGTTGGTATTTTCATGCATTCTTTCTTCTTTACGACCCTCCCTTCCTTCTCCATAAAAATATTGTGAAACTGTCTCCATGTTTACCTACATTCTTTCTATATGCAGGTTACCCCAGACCCACTGGTGGACTGCAGCAGTCGCTACCGTCACCGCCTCCTAAAAATGGCAGCTCTCATGTCTCAGACTCTCTGTCATGAACACTCCAGGAGGAGACGCAAGAGACAACATTATACATAACTGTGTCAATAAATTGCACACTTAGCTATTATACAAAAAAACTTGGCCAAGGCTACTGTTTTTAAAATTTTTACTATAATACCAGGGTGTGTAAAGAGACCAAATGAGTGTGCACGTGCAGAGTGTCTAACATGCAGCTATAAGCTTAGGCATTTTTCATACACATACTTGCCATTACTGACATTAATTGTCTCGTGATACTTTACTGTACATATAATTCCAATTTCTCAAAGTTGATATCTTCATCATTTCGAGCTTGGTCAGCACACAGCCTTATCTCGATGTCATCACGTGTTGGGGGAGATATCTCTTTCCTGAACCATGGTGGAGAGTTCCAGTCACAGCAGGTGTTGTACTCTCCACATCCAGCACCATCCCAGAGAGGATCATCTCTAAAAAAGGTAAACTCGAAACGGTTTGGATTCCCAGTGTCACAGAAGTAATCGTTTGCCACAAAAGGAGGAACTGAAGGGGGTGGTGGAGTGTTACGTGTGTTAGTACATGGACACACATCAGTTGGATTTGAATTATGCTCATGGACAGCTGCAGCAAATGTCCATATGTGTTTTCTGGGGGACTCTCCATGCGTTATGCTTATACCGTCAACATAATTAGTGTCAGTTGTGTTGTGGCCACTGGCAAAAGCATCCGGAGTTTTTTGCTGGTATCCAATGATCTTGCCGCATACTTGAGAATACTCTATTCCGTTTACTGGGAAAAAAGTCGAGGAACATCCGGCACCATCAATGTTCATAGCGCACAGTCTGAGAGAACTGATGAGGAGGGTCCTTAGACCAGAAGGGCAAGTACTGTTAGTGTTATGCATGTCGATATAGGCTACCCTCATCCATCCTCCAGTTCCATTTTTGCAGCTCCTGTCCATATCACAATACATATGTTGGGAGCTATTATTAGTTCCCCTTATCCAGTAAAGACCTGAGGGAGACTTTGGGGCCAACTGGAGGATCTCCTTGCAGGAGGAGGCAGGAAAACAAGGATTATATCCAGCGGAATGTATCCGTGAAAGCAGGGTCGGTGCTAGATCTTGAAGAGTTGTTCCAACTGCAGCCTTGACACTCTGTGCAATGTGCTTGTCCATTTCTGCAAATATCTCACTCTTCATACGACCTATATCTTCCTCTATTTTATGCAAATCAGGGCCTAGAGCTTCATATGCGGCAGCAGCAACCCTTACAACTGTTTAAATACATAAAGTTCAATTAGAGTTGAATTATGTACAATGCCTCACCATCAATGTCAGCCTTTACCAGCTTCAGTGTCATCAGACAGAACACCACTATGAATGACCTGGCCACCATTTTGAGGGCAAATAGTAATTTGGATAGCTATGACAATACTT